TTTCAATATTACCTAATTTGACTTTTTTGAGGTAATGGTTCCCCCTTTCATGCTTTATGGTTTTGTTATGTTATATTGGTTAAATTTTACTAAAATTGGTGTTTTCATCATTATGTATTTGTTCTTCATGCTTTTGTGTGACTTTGGATTTCCAATATGTATAGATAGTTTTTCTTTGAGGTAATGGTTTCTCCCTTCATACTCTATGGTTTTGTTATGTTATATTGGTTCTGTTTCGTTAAATTTTATGTTTTCATTAGATAGTTTTACTGTTACCCGATTTTGGATTTCCAATATGCAAAGTTATTAGATAAAAGAGATAGATAGAGGATTATTGGGTAAGTAATTTTTGGATTTTGAATTGATGATTAAGAAACAAGTCCTTAGGGTTTTAGAAATGAAGTTTTAGCTCCATCTCAATCTCTCAATTACTCTTTCAACGAAAGAGTAAAGAATGTTGGGTTTGTTGCATAAGTAAGGAGCAATAGAGATGGATAAGTGCAGGAAGGTATGCTCCTCTCTTTGTTTCTCTTTCTGTCTCTTAAATATTAGTTTTATTTACCTTTGTTTTGTTCTTTGAAATCATTTGTTAGAGGGAGTTATTGCCTATGTCAATCATTTGTTTGGAGCTGAGGGCACTCATTGTACCTCCATAATTAGTGTGTAGGGAAATATGCGTGGTCATTTGTGGGATCTTTTTGTTTTTGTCTAGGAAAGCATAGGGTACATAGAGAGAAAAGGCTACTGGGGTATGGTAGAGATAAATTTTAGATAGAAGGGAGACAAAGAGTATGTGTTAGAGATAGGTGGCGTGAAGTAAAGAGAAAAAGACAAGATTTTTTAGAATTATAGTACCTGTTATCACAACTCCTAATTGCTAATAAATTTCATGTTCCAAATGATTTCATGAATTTGAAATGCTATACTCTAAACCCGAAATGATTTAATGAATTTAAAATCCTATACTCTAAACCCGAAACCCTTTATAGCATAATATTATAAAATATCTATATAGTCACCTATTAACTAATTTTACATTCGAATAGCCACAAGTCATAAAAAAACAAAGTCCAAATTACAAAATTTTGGTGGATGTCATTGAGATGAGCAATTGTGCGCGAAAATTTCAGATTTCGCAAATCCACCTTATTTTTGTTATAGTTTTCAATGCTAGAGTGTGGACCCAGATCCGAAATTTCGGCCGCTGAATTTCTTCCATTTAATTTTTATTTAAAATATTCACAAAATTCAGTGAATCTCAACTGTCCATTAGGGATTCCAATACAAATCGAACCCCTTTATATGGGAACAGTTCTGTTTCCTTAGGATAATCTCGCCCGTACATTAATTCCTCGCTACGCCACGCTAGTAGATCACAACCGTCCATTATAAGAGGTCACTTTAGATAATTGATCATAGAAGACAAGCATTTTAGAGATAGGACGCCATTAAACCCCGTTGAGTTTTGAAGTTTTATTGCTACTCCTATAGAATTCTATAGAAAGATAGAATTCTATAGAAAAAATACAAATTTATTACAAAATCCAAAACATACAAAACAAATATTTACAAATACAAATACTGTACAAATATTCAAATTCATATTTCATATTCATTAATAAGAAATTAATAATAAATAAGAATTTACTGAACATTCATAATAAATGTACTGAATTAACGAAGGTTAAATTTCACGGTTCGATGATATCAAGGTTTAGTTTAGGTTTAAGCAAAAATGTTCATGCTCCCGCGGGAACACTATGTACATTTACTCTATTGGGCAGATGGGAGTATTTATATGAACCAGACTTCTGGGATAAACCTCTTCAACCTATGCAAAACTGCAAACTAATAGCAAAAATAAAGTTTGATCACTCTATATATAATTTAAACTTTATGTAAAAAAATTAAAAGATTATTTATTATAAGACCATTTATTTTTATTACAAGGAGATTGTGTCAAATTGGATGGCTTGAAAGTTTGACAAAGATTTTTTTTTTAACATTGAGTTTAGTTAATGATACTCTTACAACCATTTAATTTGAAATCTGATTGACAAGAGGAATTGTAACCTATGAAAATTGAATGGTCTCTTTATATACTTTTCCAAAAACTAAAAGGTGCGGTTTGTATAGAGCCTAGGCTCTAAACAATCAAATTAGAGCCTACCTTCAAATAGTGTTGAGAAATGTGGTCTCAATATTGAAAATCTTTGTCATAGCCTTAAAATACATTTTCATATTTATTTATAAAGTTTAAAGATTAAAAAATAGTGTAGATCGACATATCTATGAAAACTCAAAAATCTTGAAAATTGACGGTCCAAAAATACATTACAAAATACACTATTTTCAAAACTTGAGATCCATTTTTTTCTCATGTCCATGCATCTTGATATTGAGATGATCAATTTGAAGATATTTCGGCATTAAAACAACCTCTTCTAGTATAATTTTTGAAGTAGGCTCAAATTTGATTGTTTAGAGCCTCGGCTCTATATAAACTTTTCCCAAAACTAAATGGCACGGCCATGGCTTGTAAAGCATTTAAGACGTAGAATCTAACTCAAATTATTGCTAATCCATCTCCACATCCATAAATTTTGTGTTTCAAAATTATGTAGAATGATTAAAATTAACAAAAAATAAAAAATATATTTTGATGCTAAAAACTCTTTCTTTTTTTTTTTCTTTCAAAATTGTTATCACGGTGGTTTAGATGATAGGCCTGCAAAACTTGAATTTCATCTCCAATGTAACTTTTGGGAGGGTGGAGCCACTATACATGATCTCTCCAAAAAGTATTGTCCTAGTATTGAATACATACTGCTTAATTTTGATGTTAAGATATTAGAGTTAAAAAATCAACATTTTTTTTATATTTTTTAAAAATTTAACAAAACACACTTGATTTATCGACCATTTAACATTCTACGTTTTTTTTTAAAAAATTTGTTTTAATTTTTAACATTTTACCCATTTCCCTCTTTTCAAAATGATGGTCATGTGTATTTTGGTGAACTTTTTGAAATAAAATAAAAAATAGATAAAATATTAAATAGTTTATTTATTATGATAAATCTTGCTTATTTCTTCGAAAACACACTCAGCATTGACCGTAGGATGGATACCAATCTTTTAGACCAAAATAATCTTCTAAGTAGGTCGACTGGTATATACACAGTGTGCTCCTGCATGACTACGCTATAGGTCCTAATCTCATATCTTTATTTCTCAACCAATTTAACCATGAAAAATTGTTTGGGGGGACGTATTCCTTCACCTATTTATCTTCAAATAGCATTGAGAAATGTGGTTTTAATATTGAAAATCTTTTTGATAGCCTTAATATATATATATACATATATATATATTTGTTAACTATAAAATTTAAAGCTTCAAAAATATCGTAGAGCAAATGGATTTATGAAAACTTGAATTTTGAAAATTGATGGCCCAAAAATTAGTTACAATAAGCATTATTTCCAAAGCTTGGAGTCAATTTTTTTCTTATGTCCATGCATCTTGATGTCAAGATGATCAATTTGAGGATATTTGAGCATCAAAACAAAGTTTTCTAATGAAATTTTTTAGGTAGACTCTAATTTAATTGTTTAGAGTCTCGACTCTATACAAACTTTTTCCAAGGCATAAACATCCATCTTAAAGTGGGTTACAAATAGGTGGTCCTTTAAAAAAATTAAAAACAATAGTCTAAATATTTTATTCATAAGAATATTATTTTCATTTCTAAAATTTTCCTTTTTTATTTACATATTAATGATTTCCATAGAGATTATATATTTTTGTAAAAAATTAAGTAAAAAAATCTATCTCAAAAATAAAATTTTAGGAGAGGGCTCATTTCTACATATGAGTCCTCGGTCTTGTAGGAGCCGTGTTCTTTAACCTAAGGTAATATTGAAAATTTTAACCCCGGTTAATAAAAGCCGCTAACCCCGGTTAGTCACCAGATAACCGAGGTGAAGCCCTCCTTGACGCCCTACTTTGACGCCCCCTTGATTGTCTGACGTGTTTTGACGCACGCGCGTTTTCCAGCAAAGGGAAATAAGATCCGGCTGCCGGAAAATGTTCGTTTCCCCGTCAAAGAATTTATTTTACGGCCAAATCTCGGGGCCAAGCCCTATATAAACCCCCTCGAACTCTCGTTCTTTGGTCATTCAATTTAGAGAAAGAAAGAGATGGAGAGAGAGAAACGTTTTAGTGGAGCTTCGGGTTCTCTTGTTATAAGGTAAGTTTTAATGGAAAATGGCTATTTATCTTTTTATTTTTTATTTTTATTTTTTTGGTTTAGTTTTAAGAGTAGTCTTGTTTTCTTAGTTTATTTCCTGTGTATTTATGGTGATGGAATGTTTGGTAGGACAGGTAGTAGGTTTGTGTCATTCTTCTTGCGAGGAGCTTTTCTATGAGTTAGGGATTCTGGTTTTGTCATGGAGATTGGAACAAATTAGGTTTTTGTGGATGAACTAGAGGAAGTTAGGGTTTTATTTTGAATGGAGCTTTGGTAGACGGGTTTTGGCTGTCAGGGTGTATTGTCTCTGGGATTTTTTGGTGTCTGGATTGACAAATGGGCGTTTCGGTATGGGGTTTTGATAACGAGGGTGATTTTTGGTTTCTGTTCATCTGTTGTGAGATTGGATCTTTTTTTTCCTTTTTTTTCTTTTCGGTTTTAGATCACAGGTTTTCTGGTTTGTGAGGTTGAGATATTACCTTATTTATTTGAGTACATGCCTGTCAATTCTCTGAGTTTTTACTAGTCTGGGTAATGCAATCAAGGAGAGGGGTTGATGTAGATGCTGCTATTGCTTTGGAGTTGGATAGCTCTGAAATGTCTGATATATTGCTCTCTAGCTTCAGTATTGACTCTCGCTGGCTTTCACCAGGCAATGGTGATTGGAGTTGGGTGTCTAGGATTTGGTTTTATTTCACTCTATAGGTCTTGGTTCCTTATCAATATTTTGTTCTCTATCAGTTATTTAGTCTTCTATTGGCTTTCTTATTTTAGCTTGTAGTTTAGTCGATTGAATACAACCTGGTTTACTCACCTCAAAGAAAAATGCAGATGTACGCATTAGAGTTCTATAGTTAAAAACATAGTACCTGAGAGTATTGATTATCAACATGGAAATGTTTCTCGTGCACATTACTTTGGATACTGATTTGGTTTTATTTTCAAGTGTGTATGTTTCTTACCCACATCACTTGTTTTCTCTGCACCTTTTTTCACTATATTTCCATGTTGTTCCTCGCTTGAGTCTTTCATCTGTTGCCTCTATTATGTGGTTACTGCGTGCTCTGAGTTTTCATATGTACTCTAGGAGTAACATATTTCTTTTAATTCCATTTGTTTTTTTTTCTGTTTTTAACAATGTTTTCCTCCATTACTTTGTTCCCCTTTTTATTTTAGTTTTTTTTCAAAATTGGATACACACATAAGCTCATCACATCCATAGAGATAGACATGCACATGCCCAAATTCACATATACATATATTAGGTAAGCTCATGTAGGTACCTGTTTGCACACATGTCTCTATATGCACTTGGATAACATATCCTCACACCCCAAACAAAATGAATTCTACATCGATGCACCCATGTGTGCGAGGCATCTCACCCCGCATCGACTTTATAATCAACTCCTATGCCATGACATTGTACAAGCTCCATTACAAGCTGTTTGTTTTGATGTCCTGGCTATCTTTTATCTTTGCATTCATTTTCCAATTAACCCACATGGGGATTTTGCATTTGGTTTTAGTGTTTGTGTTTTATAACTGGGAACTTTACTGCATAAACCTACTACATGTTTTGTATTTTCTGATTGATTATTTCACTGAATAATCAACAAAGGAATGCTGCATGTTTTTTTCAATTGCAAATTACTACCTATTCTCTCTCTCTCTCTTTTTAAACCTCCTCTCACTCTCTCTAGAGAGTTATGGGTTCATACTTCTATATTTGATGCTTAATTGTCTCATACTTTCATATGAGGTTTAAAGCATGCACGCCATTGATTTGCTGCCTTAATCTATTATTCTTGACTTTCTACTATTGTGCTGAGCCCCAAATTTTCTTCTGCAGTGCTACAGTTGCATAGTGTATCACAGCGTCAATTCCAGTGTGCAGTATTCAATGATTATTGGCTGATGTGATTGTGTGAGGGGCAGCCGATAAGGATATAAATAATCGAGTTGTTGACTGAGCAGGTTCTTTTGTTTACCTGTGGGAATTTGGACTTCTTTCTCCTGGAGATTGTTCTTTTATTGACCTTTTTCTGGGTTGCCTTATTTGGAAATATTGTGATGCTTAGCACAACCTCCTTTGAGAGGTCTCTTGGCATGGTCCTCTTTCTAGTTGTTATTAGTGTCTTTCTTTACTAACTATAAGATTCCCATTCCTACGGGTTTTCCTGAAGTTCATCAACAGGACCAATTGGTCAACAGGTGATTAAAAGGGCTTTGGTATCATGAAGGTTCTGTTTTTCCTGGGTGTGGCATACATCTTATTTTTATTTTTTCAATTTGTAAACCTAGAAAGAATTTCGTTTGATTCTTTGCAGCTACTGTGAGTTTTCACTAACATCAAATTTTCGCAAATATGGGTTCCCGTGGAAGACCATTATTTGATCTAAATGAACCCCCTGGTGAAGAAGAGGAAGTTTATGAAACTTTACCTGATCTCCTTGTTCAAGTAGGAAATCAGGGGATTGTAGATATTCATGGTGGTTCTCATACATCATCTGTTTCAGACTCCCAAACTGTTGCCAAAGATAACCCAAAAGGCTGCACTGCAAAGAATGATAAAGAAAATAACCAAGGAGAATCACTGATCCCATCTTCTAGTAAGTCCAGTGCCCAGGTTTTGCCAGTTCAATGTGATTCTAAGAATCAGAATTTATCACACTTGATCTCTCCATCATTTTCTTTATTTAGCAGAGAAGATGAAATTAATGCAACTCCATTTGTTGCTCCTAAACACTGTCGGAGATTGCGTTCAAGGGTGGCTTCAACATCTCACAAACAGAACACTAAATGTCCAAAGAAAGAAACTTCAGAAAGGGAGGAGGGTGAATACCCGGTGATGTGGGATGTAGCAAATGCTTTAGGGAGCAGCCATGGAACAAAATTCATGGCAATTCCAAAACAGAAAGTTGAAAATCCATTTTCTAAAGGTCATGGGGGGCTTGAGGATATTTCCATAGATTCTAATTCCGAGGTCAAATCTGAAAAGAAGATCATCTCTGCTCTTAGGGATGGAAATGAAAGTGCCCATATGGGGGGAGGGTTTACGAGTGGTATATCAGATGATAAGTGTCAAAGCCTTTCTAGATCAGATTCCACTCTTTTTGATGTTGTAAATAGCATCAGTGGGAATCATGAAGAGAGTAGTAAAGGAGATGCACATATTGGTAATAGTTTGGAGGAGCCTGCAGGCAGCACAGCCACAGTGCCTAAAGATTCAAAGGTACTACCAAAGGATCGTCCTGTAATGAAGTGTCCTCCTATTGGCAAGAAGCATACTCTTGACCAAAAGAAGGAGGCGATGTTGGGTAAGAAGCGAGCCCGACAAACAATGTTTCTTAATTTAGAGGATGTCAAGCAAGCTAGTGCAGTAAAAACCTCAACCCCAAAGAGGGTAAATTCCCTCACATCGCCCTTAACTAGTCGTGCAGGCAAAGAGACTCTGCGTGGTTCACGTGCTCCAGTTGAACGCATGGGGGATAGGCAAGGGCAACCCATAACAAAAGATCAGAAGCAAGCAGATTTGTTGAGCAATGAGAGATATACTGCTTCAGAAGTTAATGATAAGCAGAAGACTGACTGGAGTGGTGATGAGAACTTTGGAGATCAAGCATCAAATGATGAAAGCTCAGGAAAGGGCCAAATAGCGATGTTCCCTAAGAGGTTGTCAAATAATTCTGAAACACCATTGGATCCCATTCCTCCTCATGTTTCGAGACAAAGTTCATGGAAGCACATCATGGAATCACGACAGTCTTCACAGCCTTTTAATTGGGATCAAGGTCGGGATGTTCGAGATTCAAGGGTAACAAACAAGAAGCATTTACCATCGAAGAAGAATCAATCTTCTAGTACATCATATCAAGATACATCTGTGGAACGTCTACATCGAGAGGTGACTAATGACAAATTTTGGCACCATCCAGGTTAGACTTTTAGAATCCTCAAAATTTCCCTCAACTTTTTAGTTGTTATTTTCTTTCAGGTTTTTCATTATGTTGCTTGTGCATGACATGTGATAAGTATGGCCTTATGCATACTGACTTTAAATATGATTTGTACAGCACTTCGTAGTGTAGTTGTCCTTGCATTTTGTGATAGTGTTTCACTTTCCTTGCTTGGATTTTAAATTTTATCTTGACTGAAATGGTATAGTTCACCCACTCGCGGAGTCAGTTTGTGACTTCACCAAGCATGTCCTTAGTTGACCTCAGAAAGAAACCGAGTAAAATAAGCCTCGGCTTCGGCAACTTGGAATCATATGTTGCACGGGTAAGTCACAAAGGGAATTGTTAAAATTCAAAAACTAAAAATTGGAAACTGCAAAATATTATGTTATAAAATAGGGAAGTTACTGTTTTGTTATAAATTAAGGAAGTTATAGGCAGGGCCAAGGCCCTTCCCACTTTATAGTGTTTTGCTTGTTTGCCTTTTTTTCCCCCTCCTGATCTGGTACTAAAGCTTCACATGGTAGAGCACATGTGGTGTGGAGTGGGTTATGTGAAAGAAATACAAATGTAGGAATGATGGGAAATAAAATCCCAATTGACCTTAATTGAGATAGTGGACTTTTAGTGAGGTCTTAATGTATATAGAGAGACAGATACTTTTAGTGAGGTCTTATCACACAAGGTCTATTTACCTCTTGTAAATTTTCATCCATATTAAAACAAAAGGTGTGGTACTCACACAAACATTCAAAATAAATATTCACATGGCTATGATAGTCGTCCCTCCTTTACCCATAGTCTTCCCAACTTTATGTGTATTGTGACTAAATGGTTTTCCTTTGTACTTGTGATATGATTGTGCAAAGGCTGTATTATAAAATATGTTTGTTTGAGCGAGAAAAGAGTGCAAATTTAGAGAAATTGGAAGCTGGAGGGAAAAAATAGTGGAGCAACACCATACAATGATGGTGATATTGTATGACCTTGCCCTAAACATGGGCTGGCTCTTATTTATGAGGCTGGCCGCTGGAGTTTCTGATAACCCCTAACTGATGCCATAGGGTTAAACTATATTTTCTTCATATATGTTATTACTTTCTTGCCAGATAACAAATAATAGTTGGTTATTCAGTTTGCTGATTAATGTCTAAAAGTGCATGAAATTATGGGCTTATCCCTTGCATGACTCAATGGTTTGACTTGTATAAGTTACCAGATGATTTGGTCGCGCTCCATTTCGGCATTGAGTTCTTTGTTGGCAAATATGCTAGATAGTTTGCTAGATAGTGCATGCTTGGAGTTGCCTGCTGCTAATAGTGGTCTCATCTGATGGTTTTACTGAACAATCTATGCTAGGCATTCGTGATTACAGTGCAGTATTTGACATTATTCAGATATTCTACCAGGACATGATCAGCTTCTGGAAGCTGCATTGGTCCTTCAGTGCACCTTGAACATGGAAATTTTTGCGTCCTAATTGATTGCAAGCCTGCCTGCTTACATTCTCGATTGGTAAGCTTGGGATGCAGTCAGGTCTTCCTGCTGGGTATTCTATTTTATGTCGTCAATTATTGCTCAAGTTGACATATGCTGCTATTTATCTATGGGGCTTACTGGCACTTAAGTAATTGTCATATGTTGAACAGTTCTACTTGATATTGACAATGATCAATTCTAGGGGTTTGACTGGTAGTAATATAGTGGGTGATGACTATATCTCCGGCAGACACATGTATGAACTGTGAAGTTTGAGCAAGTTATTTAGTTGTCTAGTATAGTTTTTTGTCATGTAAGACGGTGTTTCATGGAACAGTGCTTTTATCATTATCCTTCTACTTAGGCTTGTTTCATCCTTATCTTATCTTAGGCTTTCACACTGTACTATATCTTTTGCCAAATAATTTTTGAAAGAGTCACATACAAGAACTTAAATTGTATCAGCCAAAACAGAGGAGGCTCCTTGGAGACGCTTTTCCAAAGTATCTTAGTCTTGAATCTGGAATCCCTTTTAGGTGATTTTACTCCATTTTCTGATTGACTGGCTCAGATATCTATTTATTACATTAAAATATACTGGCCAACTATCAGAAAAAAATTATGGCCACCTTCTTAGGGCTCACTTCCTGCTTGACAGTGCAGAGACCTTGATGGTCAAATAATCCATTGAGAACCTAGGGATATTTGGATTTCAGTATCCTAATTAATCTCAAAATTTGTGGATAGAAATTATTGATGAAGGATTGAAGAGTGCAAATTGTAACTATCTTGGTGTTCCCGTCTGCAGCTTCTTTGTAAGTTGTTTTCACATGTTATAAGCCACAGTGACGCAGAACATAGCTTTTGAAAAGCAGCTTGCTAGGGTATTCCATGAATCTTATAATGTGGTTTTGAAGTATATGAAGGTGGAAATACAAATTACTCTTGTACCTAAAGTAGCTTTTTAAAAGCAGCTGGATTTATTTTTCCATTGTCACATTTAACATGTGTGACCTTTTTTCTACTCTCTTTACGCTTTTAGTTTACTTCTTTGATGAATAATTTCATTTTCCTTTTATCTAGATGTGACGTTCTAAGTTGTCTTCCTAAAACATGAATGGGACTGTTATTTGAATACTTCTGCTGAAGTGATATTACATTTCTGTGTAATTGGTCTGTTGCTGTACTATTTTTTTTTTTAATGTTGTCTTGACTTTTAGTAAGGATTTAATAAATAATAAGGGCGGTATTTATCTTTGTTGAGAGTCAAAACTGACTCTTTTTGGACCCACTTGTGGTGCACAAGGAAGCACGCTCTGTATGAATCAATTTCGGAACCCAGGCAAGAAGATGATGGTATCTACTTATTGGCAACAAATCGGCCATGTTTCACTCTCCTTGAGGATATTCTGTAATGCGGTCATATAGATTTGGCATCTCCTGGCACTAGACAGCAACATCTGGTAGTGATACCCTTTCCCCTGGTGTATCAGGAGACACCATTTCTACTGATGCGGCATTGAAAATGGCTCATGGGCAACCTGATGGTTGCAGGAAGAAACTAGACAGGAATTCCAAGTTGAAAGCTACAGTTAGAGTTTGTTACATGTCTTTGTCATCATTTATTTATGTTGAATTTTTGTACTTTTTGATTGTGGGGTGAATTCATACTGGGATGGTTTCATTTGGACTTTGGTAAGTTGGAATTCTTAAAACACAAAGATAAGAAATTTTCATAAAAGAAAACCACAGTCACAATATAGTCTATTTACTTGATTTTTCATGTTTTCTGACTCATTGAATGGTTGGCAGAACCATAGGATTGGATATTGACTTACTACTTTTGTATTTGATATATAATTAGCTAAGGATCTTCTTGTAGTTTTTGGTCAGAGTCCCATATGGTTTTCTATTTGGGGAAATTGTGGATGCTTTCTTCACATAGAACCATTTAACATGTGACTGGTAATGATGATATCAGAGGTCGCGGAGCTTCAAAGTGTACCTGGTCGATTTGAATCTGTTGAAGAATATGTTAGAGTTTTCGAGCCTTTGCTTTTTGAGGAGTGCCGTGCTCAATTATACAGTACTTGGGAAGAACTTTCTGAAACAGGTCCAAGGGATGCCCATACTATGGTTCGTGTAAAAAATGTAGAGAGACGTGAAAGAGGTATGCAATTTCTGCACTTAATTCTTTTGTACTCGTTAATATTGTGCATTGAATATGAATCATTGGCCATATTATTCTGTTTTTATACTAAAAATATTTACTGCTAATGTAGAGGAGTTCACCGAGCATAGTGAATGGTTTACGTACATTAGGAGAAGTTCTTATTTTTCTCAAAAAAAATAAGTGAAGCTCTTCCATACCGTTATTCCATTGATACCCTGTTTTGAACCAGGGCATCCACCAAGTCATTAGCTTGCTTATGTAAATTGAGGAAGGAGACATCCTGTAAACTAGTTATCAATTTTCTCTATTACCTTGCAATCATTTTCATGCCAAGATATATCAGTTTGCCCATCCTGGCAAGACATTATCCTTGCGCGATCAAGTGTTTGGTGAACAACCATGTTTGTCTGACTAAAGAGCTTGGCTTTTGACTTTGAGATTGTTGGGTCTGCTAACTCAGGGGACCTGCAACTGCTTTTTTGACCTCATCGATTTCATCCCAGTAACCCCATTTTGATTGCAAAATGAACCTTAATCGAACTTTGAGTTTTAGAACACCTTTTGAAGGTCTGTCTTACCTCTCTGCCATCATTTCGTTCTTTGTTTACTCCCATGAAAACTCAGTTACTCTTCCCTGTCTCCATTATCTTAAATGTTTAAAAATATTGAACTCTATGAGGGCCTTCATCATCTGCAAACTTAACAATGCAGCAGTTGGCTGAATGTGCTCTGTGCTAATAAGTGCTATTGGACTCCCACAGCAAGTTTGCCATGGATATTTTCCTTCCGTTAATATGATCTCTTTTACTTCTTTGCGCATTACTCGTCCATGAAGAAGTTTGAGACCCTCATACTGGCGATGGTTCTTGATAATAATTTAACCTGACAAGCAGCCAATTAAAAAATTGCGCTCTTTGCAGGAATGTTGACCGTCAAACCAAGATACATGTGAACTTACTATTCTTGGTTCAGCTCAGAACTCTTACCAAAAACCTAACTGAGAGAAAGGCCCAAGGCCTGAACTTCAGACCATCCTATGCACTCATCTATGTGGAACTAGTAATATGTTTTAGCTTATATTGTGAACCTGTCATCCAAATTCCAAAACAATTCCCCTGCCTCAAACCTCCCTAGATCTTAACTTTACAATAAATTGCAATGCATTTAGAGTTGCGCAAAGGAATTACTTCACCCGTATCTGATGTTTGTATCTCTGTCGAACTTAGGATGGTATGATGTAATTGTTCTCCCATTACATGAGTGCAAGTGGACCTTTAAAGAGGGTGATGTTGCTGTGCTGTCATCATCAAAACCTGAAACAGGTCAGGAGTTGCACTTCCTTCCCTTTGTTCCCCTTTTCCAACCATCCTTTTTCTTATTGTTCTCTGCATTGCTGTTTCATTTTCAATCAAAGATTTGGATTTGAATTGATTGTCTCTGTGAGCAGTGAGACTGAGGAGGACCAAGGTTAACAGTGGGACAAATGAAGATGAAGTGGAGTCTGAGGCTGCAGGAAGGGTGGCTGGTACAGTTAGGAGATTTTCACCAGTGGATACTCGTGAACCTCCAGGAGCAATACTCCATTTCTATGTTGGAGACAAATATGATGCAAACAGGTATTGCTCAGTTTCAATTGGCTTTCTCTTTTTCTATAGTTGTTCCAATTGGCTTTCTCTTTTATAGTTGCTCCAATTGGCTTTCTTAATTCTCTAGTTTGACTTTTGGTGTTGTACCATATTGGCAGATTAATGCTGCTGAATCAGCGGTATATATGTCATTACCGCAAGTTCAGTGAACTGAAGCTTTCCTTTTATGCTGATCTTGCTTGAAATAGGTTGTTTTTTTGGTGAATCGAAACTTTGGCAAATTGTTGGATTCTGATCCTCTGTCTAGAAATACGACCCATGGTGATTGTTCATTTTGTATTCCAACTGAAGTCTGGAATGGTTGGGGTTATTTTAGACCATTGAACATAAAATTTATCTATTGCAATAATTGAAAAACAGAGAAATTTATACAGAGGGTTCATGTCATTTCAATAACCAATTTTGATAAAAAATCTCAATTCTGGACAGTAGTTTCCTGATAATTGAAATGTAAAGTTTTTGCTATGTATTTTGATTTAGGGTAATGAGATTCTAATTTATTGATTTATTTGATGTCATTATTTATGTGGCGGTTTGTATTGTTTATTATTTAGGGAAGGTATACATAAAGACCATTTACTTCTACGACAATGATGTCACAATCACTTTTGTCCGTCAGATTTTAAATCAGGTGGTTGTAAGTGTCATTGAGTAGACTCAAATTTCTAAAAGAAAATTATCAAACTTCGTGACACTACCCAAGTCATCTGATTTGATATCTAATGTCTAGGTGTGATTGTGACCTCCTTGTAACAATGGGAAATAGTCTCATAGTATACACTTCCTATTATTTATAGACACGGTTTCTATGCAGCCAGCCCGCATATTGTAGAAATGCGGGCTTGGCAATAAATATATTTTTAAAATATAATTTAATCCTAATTTTTAGAAAATATATACTCTTTAACATGGAAATCATGAATATGATTTTTTTTTTTTAAAACTAGAAACAATAATTATATTAAGAAAACATTTGGACCATTGGTTACACTTGTTTTTAGATGGATCACCTATTTGCATCCATCTTTAAGTTGGATGCTTTGTACCTCCGGACTGCATATTGTAGAAATGCAGTCCAGCCTGCATGAAACAATTTTCCATTAGTTATTATGTTATTTGGGTGTAAAATATGAGTTGGTATCTTCGAGATACTTCAATACATAAGAAAATTTTTATTAATTTATTTTGGTGTAAAATATGACTTGATATCTTTGAGATACTTGAGTACGTAATATAAATTATTGAGTACATAATATAAATTGTATTTGATTATTATTTATTTCTACTGTTTCTTCTCTGGTGAGAAACTATGTTAGTCATGCATTTGATATTCTTGTATATCTAGTTTTTCTGTGTTATTCTGAATACAAATGTCTGAATGTCTGTTACATTCAGAAACCTGCTTTTGTGGTCATTTTTTATATTGGCTGAATTGGCCAATGTGCCGTTGGAATTGGATGTCAGCATGTGTGGCTCTACCAGCATTGATGGCATATGAACTTGTCCAATATAGATTCTTTTTTTCTTTAATTTAACTTCTTTTGTTTGGTTAATCCTTTTCTAGGATCGTATTTACAGTTGTAGTCTCATTTGGCTCAGTAATTGGCTCCTTTTTACTGCTGCTCCTAAATTTTGTTGGTTGGATTCACAGTAAGATGGATGAGGATCCTTCCCTCTTGAAGAATTTACAGCAGAGAGGCACTTGGTATCTAACTGTTCTTGGAACGCTTGCAACAACCCAGAGGGAATATTTAGCGTTGCATGCATTCCGTCGGCTCAACCATCAGGTAAGTTGGAAGTTGCAAACACATGCGAAATACTTCCAAATATGGAGGATAAATGCATTATTAGGCTTTAAGTATGCTGTTAACGGTCTACTCTTCGATACCGTCTTACTATAATCCAATGGTGTATGAAAGACCATAGTCCACTGGGGTCATCACATTCTGCCGAGATGATGGACAATGATGTAGAGAATGGGATCGGCTTTCGACGGTCTTCTCCTCTACTCTTGGATCCTGTTCTCAAGTGTACAATACACTTAGGCAACATGACCCATGGACGATAGGTAAATTTTTCCAAATTTAATACTTCAATATGCATTCTCCATTTTTCAGATGCAAAATGCAATCCTGCAACCCAGTCCAGAGCACTTCCCGAAATATGAGGAGCAACCCCCTGCAATGCCTGAATGCTTCACCCAAAACTTTGTGGATCACCTCCACCGGACCTTCAACGGGCCTCAGTTAGCCGCTATCCAATGGGCTGCAATGCACACAGCCGCTGGAACCAGTAGTCTTGGATCATCCAAGAGACAAGACCCATGGCCCTTCACCCTGGTTCAAGGGCCTCCTGGTACTGGAAAGACCCACACAGTGTGGGGTATGCTAAATGTTATCCATCTTGTCCACTACCAACACTATTATGCGGCTCTTCTGAAGAAACTTGCGCCTGAAAGCTATAAACAACCTACCGAAACAAGCTCGGAAAGTGTGTGTTCTGGTTCTATAGATGAGGTCCTTCAAAGCATGGACAAAAACCTCTTAAGAACCCTACCCAAGCTTTGCCCCAAGCCCCGAATGCTAGTTTGTGCACCATCCAATGCGGCAACAGATGAGCTCCTTTCTCGAGTCCTGGACCGAGGGTTTATTGATGGGGAAATGAAGGTTTATAGGCCCGATGTGGCTCGAGTTGGGGTTGATACACAAACCCGAGCTGCGCAGGCTGTGTCAGTAGAGAGAAGAACTGAGCAACTCTTAACAAAAAGTAGGGAAGAAATCATTAGCTGGATGCACCAGTTAAAGCTTCGTGAGGCCCAATTCTCTCAACAGATAGCTGCTCTCCAAAGAGAACTGAATGTTGCAGCTGCAGCTGTGCGTTCACAAGGGAGCATGGGGGTGGACCCTGAGGTGCTCATGGCTCGAGACCACAATAGGGACTCTCTTTTACAAAACCTTGCGGCTGTTGTGGAGGGAAGAGACAAAGTTTTGGTAGAAATGTCAAGATTGGTTATATTGGAGAGCCAGTTTAGGGCAGGTGGGGGTTTTAACACTGATGAGGCTCGAGCAAGCCTTGAAGCAAGCTTTGCGAATGAAGCTGAGATTGTGTTCACTACTCTCTCTAGCAGTGGGCGCAAGCTATTCTCGAGGCTAACACATGGGTTTGATATGGTGGTCATTGATGAGGCAGCGCAGGCGAGTGAGGTTGGGGTCCTCCCTCCTCTTGCATTAGGTGCAGCGAGGTGCGTGCTTGTCGGAGATCCTCAGCAGCTCCCTGCTACTGTTATCAGCCAGGCAGCGGGCACTCTTCTCTATAGCCGTAGTCTTTTTGAGAGGTTTCAGCAAGCAGGATGCCCAACCATACTTTTGTCAGTGCAGTATCGAATGCATCCTCAGATTCGTGAATTCCCTTCCAGGTATTTCTTTCATCTGCTTTACTTACAAGTTTGTTTTATTATGGGTGATAAGAAACCGTGAATTTATCCACAAGCTTGTCATAGGGAGAGTGGTACTGTAGTAGCTGTAAAAACTCAGTTCAAGGACATACTAAAAGATTATGTGAAATACCTTCTAGAGCTACAGAAGGAATTGGGATAAAAAGGTGGTTAGTGTTTGCAGCTACATTTCTAGTGACTGCACTTGTCCCTCCATTTCACCCTTTCTATCTGACAGGTGAGTTGTGCCTTCTGGGTCCGACTTGTATGGATGGGTGTAGTTATTATGATGTTGGGTTCAGAATGTCAGATGAAACTTTGATTTTGGAACATAATTGTAAGATAGGAGAAAAATGACTTTAGGTTGAAATTTGAGAAAGCTCCAAGAATAACCATATTGAGAAAGGGAATTGGTCCAATAAAATGAGATTCTGTTGTGCCTTGAGTTAAGAATGTTTTCTGGGATTAACTTATAGGAGGTCCACCACAGGAGAAATCAAGGAGTATTAAAGAAACTTGCTGAAGCCTAATTAGTCTTGGCTGAACCCTTAATAGTAAATATTTAATCCCAGAGATTGCAAGTAACCATCCTATACCAAATTCTCAAACCTATGCTAAGGCTATTCATGTTATTGCAGATATTTCTACCAGGGACGCCTAACTGACAGTGAAAGCGTTCTGAACTTACCTGATGAAGTTTATTACAGAGATCCTCTCTTGAGGCCCTACAATTTCTACGATATCATGCATGGGAGAGAGTCCCACAGGGGTGGGTCTGCCTCTTATCAGAATGTGCATGAGGCCCAATTTGCCCTGAAGCTTTATGAGCATCTCCAAAAGATTGTTAAAGCTTCAGGTGGCGGTAAGGTAACAGTGGGGATCATCACTCCATACAAGCTTCAGTTGAAGTGTTTGCAAAGGGAGTTTCAGGAGGTTTTGGCTTCGGAAGAAGGGAAGGGCTTGTACATCAACACAGTGGATGCATTTCAAGGCCAGGAGCGGGATGTGATTATCATGTCATGTGTCCGGGCATCCAACCACGGTGTGGGTTTTGTGGCTGATATAAGGCGAATGAATGTCGCCCTCACACGTGCTAGGAGAGCACTTTGGGTGCGTGTTTTGATAATCTTTTGCTACTCTTTCAAGAGGGGTGTGTGTGTGCATGTTATATACATGAGAGAGAGAGAGAGAGAGAGAGAGAGAGAGAGAGAGAGAGAGAGTGTCTGGAAAAAAATGCTTTATTTATGGTAAGGTCAAAATGATAAAAGTCTTCTTTGAAAAACATACGTTTTCCTATGTTGTAAATAAGAGAAAAATGGTTTCTGAAAGACTTGGCATTGGACTGATCATTTCATGAGGTTTGAGACTCTTGGAATTTGACGTTTGCATGCTTAAAGTTGGTTTTTAAAATTTCAGCTGACGGATCAATCAGTTTTGTTGTTTATTTTGAAATCCTTGAATTTGACCGATTTTGGTTCCGGTTAACAGCATATAAATCATCATAAAAAAGTTCAAAGGTGTCTTTAGTCTTAATGTTGGAAGATCTCTTTACTCTTTTCTAGCGTCAGTCTTTTGATTGATTCCCCTGCTATGTCTTAATATTTATTTTGATAGTAACTAATGGCATTTTTTTTTGTTTTACCCAGGTTATGGGTAATGCAGCCGCTTTGATTCAGTCAGAGGACTGGGCTGCCCTTATTGCTGATGCCAAGGGTAGGGGTTGCTTTGTTGACATGGAGTCCATACCTAAAGAGTTCACCATCTCTAAACCACCAATATATAACCCAATGCCTAACAATAGGTTTCCAGTTAATTCGCGGATGCCTAGAATGATGGTTGGACCAAAACACCGGCATCCTGGCATGTTTGCTGAGCCCAAATCTCTCTCTCTCCCAAATGGTGAAGAGAAACCCGACTCATCGGTTCCCAGTAATGGCACATACAGAGCAGCCGTATGAGAAGAATTTGTTTGGTCCTGGGCCACGGGACTGCCCCACACTATTGAGGGTGATTGATGCAGAGAAGTGGGTTGGTTCTGAAACAGTGGAGTCTGCCCCCAGAAATGTGGGAGGACAAATGGTTAGAACCATTCAGGCCTAACTGTGGTCTACTGGTTGGAGTCCTTTAAAGGATGAGAAATGAGCCATTTGCGGGTCTTTATCCGAGTTCGAATGCTTGGTTAAGAGTGCAGTACCCCGAACTTTTAACTAAAATCGATGGAGATTTTTGTTCTTCCAAAGGGTGCAATAGGGTGTGAAGCCTATTGCCCTTGAGAAATTTTGTGCTAACCCAAGAAAGATTCTGAAGAAATGCTGGTTTTTTGGATCCATTTGGTAGAAGATTTGTTGTGATGGATGCCTTCGGTTCATGTGCTTGATAATTCTTGTACATAATCATAGCTCCTGGATGAAGAGCTGTATTATAGTAAATAGATACACTTGCCCATTATGTTTGTTTTGGGCACACGATTCAGGGTTATGTAAGGGGAAACATCGATAGAAGCTTTTGGGGACTATCTCACAGAGGTCGGAGATTTTGGGGACTGGGATGATTGCTCACGTGGCTCTGTAAATTCTCTCTGTAAAGGATGGCTGTTTGTATATGATCCTGGATACGGAGAAAAGGTAAAGTACCTCACCGATCTGTACATTTTGATTCGAAATAAAATTATTCTTTTTATGCAATGTCATACTTCACTTCTCCTAGCTCATTTATCTACTGTCTACTTGGAGATACTTGTGTTCCAACTATTCTCTTGTGCACTTTGCCTCTTTTTTTGTTGACAGCTTTCTTTTTGTGTGCGTGAGAGAGAGTGAGAGAGAGAGAGAATATGCTGAAGTAGTTCTGGTGTGTGAATAAGTCAGCCACCTTCATACCTTTCCATATCTCCTTGTTTCTTGCATATTATGGTTCTGCATTCGTAAGTAAGACTCTCTACCCTTGAAACTCTTTCTCATTGGAGCTCGTGCAATAAAGCTGGTTGTGATGCTTTCTCTCACTCCGACACGCTCGATCCCCAGCTGAGGTTTTTGCCTATTACCTCCGATATCCCCAACACATGGAAGGTTGCGAATTTCAACTGTATATTGAACACTAGGTGACTGGTGAAATAGTTTGAAGACAACTGTTTTGCAGTTGTATTCTATTTGTGCATTTTAACATGGATATAATTACAGGAAAATTTTGACCAGGCGTCCTATTATTTGCTTTCACTTATATGGTTCATTTTCATGACCAATGACCTTTATATTAGGGTCTTACATGATTTTTTATTGTACTTCCACCCAAATTGATGGATATTCAAATATTTCAAAGTGGAAATAGCCTCCAAGAAGTCCAACACTAGTGTTCAATCAGGTGGTGTATTATGTAGAGATCGATCGACCTTCATGTCTTTTGAATAGCATCTATCAGAGTTGCTTCATTCCTTGGCAAGTATGGAAGGGCAATTATTGTCATGAAATCTGGGTTGTAATTGTACAAGTGAGGGACAGTATACCATATAATATTGGCAGTAATGCAGAAGGTATGCTTCCCTATAAATGTCCATAGGAGCATTATGTATTACATTCTTGAACTTAAAAGTAAAGGTGCGATGGCTGATCAGAAGATCTTTTCACCATCTCCACTTTGGCTTGGGTGCTCCCTGACCAGGATTTCGATTGAAGAAAGGGCGAATTGGGCTTCTGACTTCATGGAGGGCAGGAAAATTCCTGACCACCGATGATCTTCGTATTCTTTTGCACGATAAGTTGGCTGTCATTACTCTCATGCTCTCTTTCAATTCTTTCTTAGCAGTCAGCACCTATCTTAAGTTTTTTAGGTGTTCCTTACAGGCCCATGAAATTTTCATCATTTCTGATTGGAAATAATATGAAATAGTAGTGGAAAATCTTTAACAGAAAACTATTGAATAGTAATGAATCCTTGATGAATTTGAAATATATGCTAAAGAAAAAGAGATGGATCTTGAATTCTCGAAATGTGGTTATGGTAAATTGGCTCCTCATAACAATCTTTGTTTTAATTTTAGTTGTTTAATTAAGTTCTTGAATTCTAAGATGCATAATCATTCAATGTCTTTTTCCAATTAATTGGGATCAGTTAAACAAATTTTGGTCTGCCATTTGCTATATTAAGGGCTATATTCTCTGCGAGGCTATAAATCTTCATATTTTTTCTAGATATTTTCAACCATGTCTTTTTGGGTTTATCACTTGTCTTTTTTGAGCCTTCCATTTGACTAACTCGCACCCCCTAACAGGTGATGTACTGGGTTTGTGTTATAAATGGTCAGCCCACTTAAGTTACTTTCTGTTTCTCTTTCATTTTATCATCTATTGGTGTCCCAGTTAAATTTTTTCGAATGTATTCATTCGGAATGTTATCATTTTTTATCTTACCACTCATCCATCTCAACATACTCATTAAATATTTATGAAAAAAATTATGTACGGACCATATTGGAGGGGTTTAATTATAAAATGAGAACATGTTGCTCCCAAATTACAGGCAGCACCCCCTTTCTTCGGCATTTTTTCCCCTAAATTACCTCCCCTGTCCGGTAAACCAAATACCAGACGTGGTTTTTCTACGTTTAAATGAAAAGTTCTCCGGTGTTCGAAATATCGGAAAACTCTTAAGTTTTTTAAATTTAAAATTTGTTGTCCAGTTTTCAGTATATCGGGTGTCTTCTTTTGCTCTCTAAACATCCAAACTCCCCTTCGTTCCCCTCTTTTTCTCTTTCACCATCTCTCTGTTCAAGAGAATTATCCAACATGCGCTCTTTCTCTCTCGTCTCTCTACCCTTCTCGCTCCCTTCATTCATGACTCCATCCTCTTATCCAAGATCGAGCCAAGACACCGTGCAATCTTTTTCCCTCCTCCATCTCTCTTGGTTCAATTTTTTTTTCCCTTATTCAACGTAGGGCTTTCTATCTTGCAATGGTGCAACCATGTCTGAAGAAATTAGCTTTTCAGAGTGTCTAGAATCAATACAGGGAGGGAAAGGGAGAGTGGCTGATCTGGTTCTTATGTGATGGAGCCTGAGTGATGAGGCCATTAATAAAGACGAAGGGTAAATCTCAGCACCCACATGCTTCTTCGAATGGGTACTAGAGGGATCTTCCTAAACTTACTGTGCAACTTTTTAGCCTACATTTGAAGGTCCTTTCCTCTTTTTTTTTCTTTGGCGCCCCATTTTCTTTTCTTACAACTCCATTTTCATTTTTTGAAACCCCATTTTCAATTGCACTTTCTCCATTGGTGTCTTCAGGGGATGCCATTGATGCCATTGGTTTCGAAGAGAGAGAGAAAGGGATAGAGATTAGAGAGAGAGAGGGGGGCCCCAAAGATGATGATGTAGGGTTCTGATCGTTTAAATGCAAAAAAAACCATCAGTCCGGTGTTCGGTTTATTGGTTGCGTATCTTCTCTTCATCTATCCAGTTCTAATAATTATGTATGCCATCTTCCCAATCTCTCCATTTTTATGGAGTGTGAAAAGAATGAAGCAAGGGTGTATTCCACTATTTCATGGACTGGAAACGGGTTTGTCCTAAGTGTTACTGTGACATATGGCCATTGGCCCCATATTTGAGGACACATTTCGGTACGTTGACATGTGGAGATAGGTGAATGTTATATCATCATCATCATCCGAGTTTTATCGCAACAATCTAGGTTCGGCTACTCATAGGTATGTGGTAGAAGATTTTCGTTGGCTGATAGCCTAACACAACCCTCTTCCTTCTCATCTGGGATTTTGGGATTAGCAATGGTGAAGTTAAATCTTTTAATTTTATAATAGTTATTTATCAAAATAAATGTAGCCATATCGCTTTATGGACATTAGGGACACTCATAGCTAGTGGCACTCATAGACAGTGACTCCCTTGGTGGTGTCTGTGTAACACTGGGTGTCCCATGTCTCCATTTCTATTTATAGTATCACTGTAATCCTTACCTACCTTGAGTTTCTTGCCACTGGTTTTGGTCTTTTTTGGTATGGGTTTTGGCTACTTGGCTTATTTTTTTCCCTTAGTAGTTAATGCACTAGATGTGGCAGGTTAGAGAAAAGCTATGGCATTAATTTTTCTCCATTAATTTGAGAGGTTAAGCTTCAATTTGGAAGGGTATCTATCAATAAAAAATGGAGAAATAAAACTTTTAAATTTGGGTGTGGTTTGTACAAGGTTGTATCCTTAAACAATCAAAGTAAGGTGCACCTCCAAATTTTATTATAGATGTAATTTTGGTGTAAAATTTTTTTAGGATGGTTTGAGAATCCATTTTCATATCTAATTATAAAATTCTGAACTACAAAATTACTTTAAATCAAGTAGATCTATAAACATATGAAAATATTGAAAATAGACAACCCATATAATGTGTTTTAAGATGCAATACTTATGGGATTCAAAAATCTTTTTTTGTTTTTATATTCATACATCTCGATGTCGAGATGATCAATTAAAAGTCTTTCTAACATCAAAATGACATTTTCTTATATTTTAAAATTGCGACCTTATAAAGTCCCAAAACTTGTCTCTTAAGGCGGACATGCACACCACCCAAAACTAGGACCCATGATTGAATACCTCCATACTCTCATTGTACATTACAATACTAACATTCCTCTCCCCCCTTCCCTTCAACTCTCTCTCTCTCTCTTTTTCTAATGCCATTAATGTGTTTCATGTGAGTGACATCACACTCCATATCGATGGTGTTATACTCCTCTTAATGATAAAAAATACCATTATTAAAAAAATGCTACTTGTATAAAACAAAAGTTTAAAAGTGCTCAAAATTTGTTGAGTACAATGATAAATTACTCTATAATGTGAACCCTCTAACATAATATATATATATATATAAGTATTTTGGTCATTTTATTTTTTACGGATAATTTTCTTTTTAAAATTTTTATTAGGTTGATGAGAAGAACACACTCTTAAAATTTCAAGTGATTTAGATTTGTAGAAAGAAAAACTAAAATTCAAACACTACCAGA